TGAACAAGGGTCAGGAAACAAAGAATCACAGAACCATGGAATGGTTTGGGTTGGGAGGAACCTCAAGGATAACCCAGTGCCACCCCCTGCCACGGGCAGGGACACCTTCCACCAGCCCAGGGTGCTCCAAGCCCCGTCCAACCTGGCCTTGGACACTTCCAGGGATCCAGGGGCAGCCACAGCTTCTCTGGGCAACCTGTGCCAGGGCCTGCCCACCCTGGCACACCCTTAAACACGAGAAATTGAGTTATTTAACTGCTCCTCATTCTCCAATCCCACTGCCTGTGCCCTGAGTGGAAACTGGGGCTTCTGAGTCCCATTTCCCTGCCCCTGTAATTACACTGTGGACGCTGCAGTTCCTGTAGCTGCTGCTCTCTGTCCCATGCAAGTGTTACGAGGGGATGAGTCTCCAAGGTCCCATTAAAACGATACTGCTCCATCTTCCAACCTGTTGCTTAATTGAAGCCTCTTAAATTTTTATTGCCAAGTTGGCAGGAATTGCCAATTTTCAGCGTGCTTTTTCATCTCCCTCTGATGTGCCTGTGCCGGTGGCGTGGCCGGGAGCAGCTGTCTGGGGAAGAGCCATTCTCTGATCCCAGCCCTTCTGGGAGAGGTTTGGGAGACTCAGCTGGAAAAACCAGCCAGGAAAAGGGGAGTCAGAGGCAGCAGGAGTTTATCTTTCCTTTCCTCTATGGGATCAGCCCTTAAAAATGTCGTTTCCAGTGGGTCCATCCACACCTGGGTGCAGGGGAATGGGGGTGAGGGGGATGTTGCAGCCTCCCCACGCACAACACGAGGTCTGCAGAGGGGTTGTTACAACACCAGGCTCTCCCAAAAAGAGCCAGGAAAGTGGGAAAATTGAGAAATTGAGGTGGATCCCCCTCCCCCCACAAAGTGAGGAGCAGTGGGAACTGAAGGGCACTGCCCTACTCTGGCTGGGGGGAGGTCCTGCCCTCCCTTGGGACCCGACTGGAGGGTGAGGGCACAGCATGTCCTGTGCCAGCTCCTGCACAGCTCCCATTCACCAGCACACAATCCTTATTCATTAGTCCCAGCAAATTGCCATGGAAACACGGCCCTGCATCCCGGAGCATCCCTGGCTCTGAGGCACAACAGGGACCGTGGCTGAGAGCTGAGACAGGGACTGCGGCCAGCTCACCCCACGAGGAATGGTGGGAAACCCCCCCAAACCAGCAGCTCTGGGTTCACACACCCATGGAAACCACTCCAGCTCCTTTCCCTTGGCATCCCCCCACGGCCACAGCACGGAGTGTAACCCAGGGAGGAGGTTTTCCCCCCCTCCTCCATCCACACACTCTTGTTTTAATTGTGATCATCCATCCTGTGCTGCCTCCTGAGTCGTTTAGGGAGCTCAGTCCTGGCTCCCCCCAAATTTTAGTGTCAGATTTCAGAGAATCCTAGAATAGTTTGGGTTGGAAGGGACCTTAAAGCCCATTCAGTGCCACCCCCTGCCATGGGCAGGGACACCTTCCACCAGCCCAGGTGGCTCCAAGCCCCATCCAACCTGGCCTTGGACACTTCCAGGGACTCCCCAGGGAAGAGTTTCTTCCTAATATCCAACCTAAACCTACTTCCTTTCAGTTCAAAGCCATTCCCCCTTGTCCTGTCACTACACAGCCCTGTAAATAGTCTTTTTCCATGTTTCTTTAGGCTTCCTTCAGGTCCTGGAAAGCCACAATTAGGTCACCCCAGGCCGAACAATCCCATTCCTCTCAGTCAGAAAACGTCTCCCCCTCGGCCACGAGTCCCCAGCAAACGAACAGCTTGGCCTACATAACCCAATAACACCACATTTTATGGAGGAACCTCCTGCTGGCATCTGCCTTTTTGCAGCACTGCTTTTGCTGACTCGGCCCTCCCAGCCCAGCCACGTGGAAAGTCCCTCTCAGGATGCTCTTTGGTGCAACTCAGCACAGCGTTAACGATGCAGCTCCCAAAACTGGGGAAGGAGCCTTAAAAGTGTCTCTCTGTAGGAATCCAGAGGGCTGAGCCACTGCAGGAGGAGGAGAAAAGCTGATTTGGTTCCTTTTTTTTTTTTTTTTCTTTTTCCCCAGATTGACAGCTCATTTTAAAGGGAGATTTAATGAGATCACGCACCCTCACGGCCCCAGAGCTGGCTTTGACACGGGGCTTTTGGAAAGCCCTCGGTGTAAAGAGCCAGGATTTATCACCCTGGTAATAATCACCCTGCCCTTGCTTGTGCTGAGCAGCTGCACACCTGGAAAAGGCAAGGAAATCAGGAAGCAAAGCCCAGAAAATACTCTTCATTTCCAGCCTGGGCTGGGGATGGGAAGGGTAGATTTGAGCGTGGCCACAAGGAATATTCAGAAATAAAGCCATGAACCTCTAACCCAGCCATGAATAACCCCCCTCCACCTGCAAGTCTGTCTGACACACAGCTCCCACCATCACACCCAGCTCCACACCTATCTTTTTACTGCTGGAAAATAGGGTTTATAACTGACAGAGGCTGCTCTGAGCTGGGAGATGCGAAACGACCTTCTCTTTATCTTTATTTCTGTTCTCCTCCAGCTGGAGGATCATTTCTTTTATGCTTCACGGCGTAAAACACATGTTTTAGGACCCCAATAACTGGCTGGACTTGGTCCCCAGGGTGATGTTCAGGGGCTTTTCCATCTTTTGCTCTGGTTTATTGAAGGAGCAGCGCGTGCCTGTCCCAGTTGTTGAGATTTAGAAGGGGAAAAACCGGACTAAAATCAGGGGTTTGAATAAAAGATGTGCACTGAGGGCTTCAGAAGGTGGGTGATTACCCTGAGGGGTAATTAGAGGAGATAGTTTATGTTGTAATGGTTGTAATTAGGCTAAAAAATGACTTTGTGGAGAGGAGGGATTAGGGTAGGCAGCAATGCCTGGGGAGCTGAATATGAAGATCCCTCCAGCCCTCCTGGGGAAAGGCTTTGGAGCCCTCAGTACAATTAAACCAGTTCCAGACCCCCTGGCTCTGAGCAGGAATGTGCCTTTCCCTCTCCCAACATCAAAACTCTGGCCAAACCTGCAGAGGAAGAGACACACTCGAGCTAGAAGTCCCTCTAAATTGTTTTTCTTGTTATCTTCAACAACCCCCCCTGCCTGGAAAGAGGGACTTGGAGAGGGATGGTTTTTTTTTTTCCCTCTCAGGTTCTATCCTCCTGATCAGAATTCTAATTTTTTAGTAGAAATAACAAAACAGTTCATGCTGGCAGCGGGGTGGGGAAGATTTACAGCAGCTGTCTCAAAGCCTCCAGCATTTACCCAATTTCTCCCTTAACACAAAGTCCTTGAGATCCTTCCTGCAGGCTCCAGCTCCCAGCCACGCTCCCAAATCTCGCTGAAACCGGGGATGTTTAAGGAAGACAAATCTTTCCAATTACTGCTGGAGCTGCCAGGTGGGTTTGAGTCGAGGAGCTGCTGCCAAACTCTTGCGAGCAGCAGGAGATTGCACAGCACCACAAACGCCCTGCCTGGCCCTGCCTGCTGATGGGCAAGGCCCTGAGACATCACCAGCCTGGTGTGGGAAGAGCTACCCCTGGCAGTTGTAGGGAATTCAGGGAATTTTATCTGGCCCTAATCCCAGGGGTGGACCCAGAACACCCCTCTCTGCACTGAGCATACCCACAGCACCTCCAGGCACAGAGATGACCCAGCACAGTCATCCCCTGGCTGCTCTGGGAGGTGACCAAGATGCCAGAGGAGATGGATATGGCATTCAATGCCTGGTCATTCCTGTCAGCAGTTCTGGTGCTAATTAATCATCATTATTGCACCCTTGCAGGTCCTTTACCTCACAGTTTGCCAAAGCCTGCTGGGTCCCCCCTAGAGCCAGGTGAGGACCCTGGGGATGCAGGGAAGGGCTTGTGCCAAGGGCATGGTTGGGAAAAACGCCCCTGATGGGTTTTCCAACCCATTTCTGCTTTGGACTCTATCAGCTGCTGCCTCAGCCCCCAGAGAACTCTTTGCCTTGCTGTGACTCAGGTGTTACACTCCCAAACAGAGCCCTGAGTGCTAATAAAGCAGCTCATTTCCTCCAGACTTCTCACCAGACCTACAAATCCACAACCCTCAGCTTCAATTGAGAAGTTTCCACCTGGCACTCGCCCACCTGGAGCCCAAACCACCCCGATCTCCCGGATGATCACACGCAAGAGAGTCGTAAAGAAGAGGAGCAAGAACCGTGGCATCTCCAGGTGTGTTCTGGTACCTGCTAGCCACGGGGAGAGAGAGGCCTGAATGATAAATCTGGGTGGTTCACCTGCACCTCGCCTCGCTCTGAAGCTTGGAGTGAACAACTGCAGCCCTGGTGCCCACGGAGGTTTAATCAGAGCAAACCCTCCCAACAGCTCGTGTTTCGCTCCCCTGCGCTTGATTTACGTCTCCTTTGGGGGTGGATGCAGGAGCAGGGAGGAAAAACCAGAGAGCTGGAATGAAAGCACTGGGGGAGGTGGGGGGGGGAAAACCTATTCCACTGGCCAGCTTCTCATATGCCTGATGAGGGTTTGGGTTCAGTGCTGCTACGTCACACCCATCGCCACCACGCTGATGTTGTCGTCGCCGCCGGGGCGTCCCGAGCCACGAGCGCAGCTGAGCGCAAAGAACGGGGCCACTCCCCTGTCACATGAAAGGATTTCACGCTGCCCCACGTCATGAAAACGCTCTCCCCTGTTCTCTTTTCACACCCCCGTGGTGGGAGAGCTCCCTGGCAAAGAGCTCAGCAGGTTGGACGGGGTCCCCGACGCGCGGAGCGGCTGCTGCCACGAGGCAGGGAAATGACAGGGGCTGAAGTCCCTCCTGGGGCTGAAATGACAAGGGTTGTGGGCAATGCACTGGGAAAGCTGCCCTCATCCCAGCCAGTTTTTGAGGCAATGCACAACAGCAGGTGTTGGTGATGAAGGTGCCTCTCAAAGGGTGTCGGTGCGCAGGAACAGCCTCTCACAGGGACCCGCTGCGAGGATCTGCGTGTGGAAATGACATTCAGCACTTACCCTTTGCTCCTGGGTGGCCACAAAGGTCTGGAATCCAGGGGCCACCCCAAAGCCCAGCTCCTGGACGAAGGGTGGCTCGGACTGGCTGTGGATCTGGACTTTGACTCCAGCCTCGAACGTTGTCTCCTCTGGAAGAAGAAGGAGAAGGAGAAGAAGAGGGGGAGGTTAACGGGCTGTGGTGTGTGGGACAGTGTCCACCTGCATGGGGGCATTTGCCCCTCCATGGAAAATGACATCTGGTAAATCCAGGATGCTCTAGAGCAGGAGATGAGCAGTTGGGAATGCTCGGCCTGGATCATCAGACTTTTGGGCAGGGAGGAAGGAAAGCCAGCAGAGGGGTTTGCTGGGACCAAGAACATCTCCAGGCTCCTGGTCCTTACAGGCTGCTTATCCCGAAGGCTCCCATCCCCTGAACACTCAGGGATTCCTCAGCTTGGTCTGAATTTGCCAACTAGAGAAAACAGGAGGTGACATCTCATTTCGAGCTGGTATTTGGTTATGGAACATAAACCTGTATCACTAAACCAAATAAACTCCTCCTTCCCCCAAACAGAGACCTTCCTACTCTCCAGAAAGTCTCCAGTGCTGAGAGCATGGGTGAAACCTGTCTCTGAGGCCACTTGGGAGATAATGTAGGTCAGTAAAAAACCCACCAAACGTGCTAAATCCAGAGGAGCTGAAGTTGCTCCAAGCTGGGCAAAGCCTTTTGCAGCACTTGGGCTCAGACACTTCAGAGTTCTGGGTGAGGGGAGGTTTCCACATCCCAAATCTACACTGACCAGTGATCCAGGTCAGCCCCCTCTTCCACTAGAGCTGAAACCAGCCCGAAAGAAACATTCTGATGCAGAATTAATGGGTTGCAAATCAGCCCTGGGTGTGATAAATGAGCACTTTGGGCTCCTCTGACCACACAGGCACCTCCACACAGCTGGGGCACGTAACCCTCCTCCCTTTAGTGCTGCTGCTACAGCCTCACATCCCAACAAACATGAAGGAACACGTGGGATTAAGGGTGTGGGGGGAGGCTGATTTGCAAAGGAAGTTGTTAACAGTGCATAATTTGGCCTAAAAACCGAGTTATACCCACTCTGTGAATCCACGTTGGTGGCCAGCAATGCCACCTCCACATCTAAAGAGCTTCCCTTTAAAGATGAATCATTCTTTACTTTCTTACTATTCCTTGGTGTTTTGCTGCTATTTTAATTCCAGTTTTTAACAGCACTGATCCAGGATGGTTGGGCCAGAGACCTCTGGAGACTCCCGGCCAGGCACACTGCTGTCCCCTTCCCCCCCCCCCCCTTCTCCTGAGCAAACAGCCCTCCCTGCCAGCCACAAACCACACATTTCTTCAGCCTTTGGGAACAAACAACATTTTAAAAGCCCCCCCTGCGCTGGCTCCACAGAAGTTCCCAGTCTGCAGCCACAGGGACGTGTCCACCAGCAGCATCTCCACGTGTCTGACCTCAGCACCACGAGCAGCTGGAGCAGGTCATTAATCCTGAACCTTTTTAAAGCTCAGCTTTTCTTTCTAAGGAGCAGGAAAGCAACGTGAAGGTAAACAGGACTGATTGAATTAGTTACTACCCCCGGGGTCTTGCAAATTCCCAGGAAATTCTGGGATGGCAGCGAGCTCTCCATGTGCTCGGTCAGGCTCAGCCCCAACCACTGGAGCACCTCTCCCTGGATCCCATCTTGGTGGGACAGAGAAATGAGCCAGTTTTGGCTTTTCCCTCCACTAAAGCCTCCCAAAGCAGGACTGGCATTGACCAACCATCCTTCTCTTGGCCTCCACTTCTGCTCGAGACCCAAAGACCACAACCTGAGTCCCTCCCCACCACTTTCCCATGATGGGAAGCAGCACAACCCTGTAACTGGGACCACCCTGTACCTGGGACCCCCCTGTAACTGGGACCCCCCTGTAACTGTGACCCCCCCGTGCCCACCACCTGCCCTGCATGTTCCTTGCTCAGCTCTCGGGCTTCCCTCCCTCCCTCCCTCCAAGAGATGGGTGTTGGTACATCCCAGCTCCCTCACTCTCTGACCCTGTGTTTGCTCCCCCAGGAAGGTCCCTTTTAAGGGTCTCTCCCCTTCCAACCCCTCCTAGTGCTGCCCTTCCAAAACATCCCTGCCCTGAGGGTCCAGGCCAGCTTTCCCCCAGATCTTTGGTGATGCAGAACATCCCCATCCAAGCTCCCCTCTGCTCAGCATCTCCCTGGGCTCTGCAGCTGCCCAAACCCCAGGGTGGGCACAGACCAGAACGGGCTCAAACCCCCTCCCAAACACCCCCCAGCTTCAATTCCAATCCTGTTATTCCCCATTCCCGCCAATCCCACCCGTCTCCATCGCTCTGCCTGGTGTTGATCCACTTCCAGCACTCGGGAGGGGACTCCATATGCTCCCCTCGGTAATTACCTGACAAGTGGGATGAGGAAGCTCCAATTTAATCTCATTTGTTGGGCGACGGGAATTGTTTTGGAGAAACATTTTTCCCATCCAAACTCGTTCTGCCCGTTCCTGCACCTGCCCTGGGTCTGTGTTCAGCTCTGACTTCTAATTCCATGAATTCCCCATGACCAGGTGCTAATTCCCCATGACCTGGACCGTGTGTGTGTGTTTGCAGGTCCACCCACGGGGAAAATCCCCGTTACATCCACCTCGACCAAACAAAACACAACCTCGCAGGTAATCCAAGAAAGAGAGACTTAAAAAGCTACAGGGTTTGTAATTTTAAGCAGGAAATCCTGGCATGGAGCCAGCGGTGCCCGCGGAAGGGGAGGGGAAGGCATTTTCTACACCACAGAAGAAACTCTGGGTTTGAAACGCAGAGTTATTAGTTTTCATCTGTGATAATAACAAGGACGACAAAACAAACAGCTTTTTTTTATTTTTTATTTTTTTTTCAGAAGAGCTGCCGAAACCCAGGCAGAATTCACTGTTTTTCCTGCGTGAAGCACAGGAGAGGATGAAACTACAAACATGAAACTGGCTTTGAAAAACTCTCGCTTCCCCTGAAAAATTCATTTTCTACAAAATAGCCGTTTTCCACTAAGAGAGAAAAATTAAAAGCCCAACTACTTTGACGAAATCCCAGATCAGGACTCATCAGCTGCACCAGAAATGTTTCCAAACTCTGTGCTGGGGCTCAGGAGCATTTAGTGGGGGTGAAATACTTGCTGGAAGTGTAAAGAAAAGGAAGGTCTCACAGGACCCAGAAGCACAAGACAGGCTGATTTGGGTGTCTTTTGACTCCGAAATAAATACCTCTGTGCAGAATAAACCTAAAAAAGGCTCAGTGGCAAACCCTGCCTGTCACCCTGAGCCTGCAGAGGTGCAACCAGGGGCGAGAACGTCCCCAGAGAGACACAGGCCAGGCGTGGATTTGCTAATTTTGACGGGTTTAGCATCGGTTTTGAACGGTTTTAGCACCGTTTTTGAACGGCTCCTCCTGCAGCCTCGGGGCTGAGCACCAGCCCACGCCCAGCCACTGCTATTTCTTTCAGCCCACCTCTTGTAATCACCCATCAGCGGGGCGAAAAACAGCCCCGAAACCCCTTTGATTGGCTCGGATGGCAGAGAAACTAAAAATACATTCCAGTCGCTCCGGTTTGCACCTTGAGAGCGTTTAACCTGATTTTGTCACGGTGGGGAAGCCCCACCATGGCACTTCATTCATCTGCAGTGCCACTCCTCAGAGCCCGTGAATTCATTTAGCCCGTCCCAGGACGGGAATAGAGCAGAAAGCTCCTCGAGGGCTGCAGTTTTCCATACATTAACACCCATTACTGTGCAGCGGGGCAGCGTTTCCCAACAAATCCCGGGCTGCTCTTTTTTTTTTCAACTGAGGGATTAGAGCAGCGTTAATTAAATCGGGGATTAATTCAGCATCTGCTTCAAACTGGCTGCGGAGCATTATACGGTGCAGAGAGCTCAGCTTTCTATTCCTGGTGGCTTTCCATGACTTTTGTCAGGGTTTTCTGCTTGGAGCATCCCTTGAAAAAATCTGAACAAAGCTCCAGCTGACGGTGCACTGGGGTGCAAAGTTCATCTGTGAACATGCAAGAAGCTGCAATTAAAACCAGAAGTGCTGCCAAAGGCACGGAGCTTCCCTCTCCCCCTGCCTTGTTACGTCCAAAAGGATCCACTTCTCCCTGGCAATTAAACATCTGAAGCTGTTCTTGGCATTTATTTACGGGGAAATGAAGATACGACCCGAGTCATGCACGGGTTGTTTCGAGCTGGAGTTGTCTCCCCACCCACCCCAGCTCTGCTGGAGGCACTGGCAGCTCCATGGAAGATGGTCCTGCTTGGAGAAAGGCAAAGCAGGTGCCAAATGGCTCCATCTGAGGAAGGTAGATGGTATTTTCTCTGCTGATTCATGTCGTGGCTGGGTTAGAAGGTGGCCTGAAGGTTTATTGTGGGTAATGAACCTTCTCCTGCAAAGAGCTGGGGAGTTTGGGCTCTCCCCACTCTTGTGGCCCTCGGCCTCAGTTTCCCAATCTGTAAAATGGGAGCAAAGTCCTGATTGACTCACTGGGCTGGAAGAGTCCCTGGGGCGTCCTCCACACCCTGCAAAGTGCACTCAACCCCCCCTGAGGTGCCCAGACAGGGGACAGTGCCTTGAAGAGGCTCAGGCAGCACCAAGTGCCACACCTGGAGGGAAATACAGCTGTTCCTCCCTGTGCCAGCTCCATCACACCCAGGAAGGGTCTGCTGGGACCGCTGCTCCTCATCTCCCTCAGGAAGGAAGGCCCCTGGAGCAGGAGGGGGTTGCTGTGGCAGCACAGACACACCCAGCAGACCCCGTGAGATGCTGGAGGTTCATCTCTGGTTTTACAGCATCCTTGGCTCGGCATTGCCATGGAAACAACCACAGCAGCAGAGCCAGAGCTCCCCCAATTTCCCCCCCACCAGCACCCCCAGAGAGGGCTGGAATTCCTGGGGCAGGGTGGAGCACCCCGAGTTGAGTTTGAGAACCTCCCTGTTCCCACCGACTCAGGGACTCCCAAAACGCCTCCCAATCAGCTCAGCACGTGGGATGTGGCTGTGTGTCCTCAGATAACCCCCCCAGGGCCTGTGCCTGGAGCTCAGCACCCCCTGAGCACGCTGGGCTCATCACACCAGTGAGCAG